GAGTGGGCCCACATCCCTCAAAATATGAGAGGTGCTGACCTGAAGAGGTTCCTTCTAGCCCCGCTGCTCTGTTCGATTCCTCTACGTAGTCCCTGCAGCATCTACTTTGCACTCCCTCGCTGTACCATGCAGGCTTACAGACCTCTGCAGGACTTCGTCTTTTCATGAGCCACTCTCTTCTCCAATAATTCCTTCAGAGGACGATTCCACGTTTCAGTGTCTCCCAGAGCTCTCCAGCTTTGCAGTATGCTTGGTTTTGGCTGAGAGCACACACTGATCACAGTGACCACATGAGGGTGCCAGTGCTATTTACCTGCCAAAACGTGCTGCAGTGAGCAATGAACTCCAGGCTGCCGTTGGGGCTGTTGTCTGGGCTCGGGCTAGTTTTGGGGGACCCCACCGGCCTGGGGACCCCTGCCTAGGTCTGTGCTGCTCCTGTGAGAGAGTGCAGAGCGTATGCGTGTGGTGGGAGATGCAAGGAGGCAGGCCCAAAGCAGAAGCAGTGTCCTGAGGAGACGCAGAGACGCAGAGATCCCCTATGACTTCTGAAACATCCCTCTGTGGGCACAGCTTCCTCTTGTGCGGGGACACCAGGAGGTGCAGGAGCAGCAGAGTCGAGTTGGTAGTTTCCCTCTCATTGCAGGCTTGCTGCCGAAGGGAAGCAGTGGCGCGGCTGCCCTGCTGCTGGGACGACTGGCAAGGGTTGGCCTGCCCAGCTGTGAAACGGGGAAGGTTGCCTCTCATCCCTGTAGATCATAAGCTCTTGGGCGATTATGTATTGTAAGGGGTGGGGGGGCTATGCTAATCTCAGAGGTTTGTTTTGTTTTCCTTTTATTCAAATTGAATTTTAAAAAACAGGTTTTTAATGTTTGATTTTAAAATCAAACATAAGGGCTGTCTGGATGAAGGAGAAGCCGTGCTTTTGTACAATAGCTCCGTGGGTATAGCATCACCCCTAGGAAGGGGAAAAGCTAGGTTTGATCCTTGCCTCTGCCTGAGGGGAGATGCAAACTCTGGTCTCCGCAGGACCCCAGAGAGTGTTGTAAACAACAAGCTGTGAGCCTGTCTGGCGTGGAGGGTTGTTCTTGCTCTTTCCTGGTATTTTAAATAATTAATAATTTGATGGAGCAGGGAGTGGAGGAGGCAGGTGTCCCATCTCCCCAGAGAGTAGTCTGTGCACCAGGCTAGACGGAGTCTTGCTCTCTCGATGCATATTTAAGTGTCTTAGACAAATTGGAGTGGTGCCAGCAGTAATGACTGAGAAGGGCTGAGCCTTTCCCACTGGGTACCTAGTGCAGAGAATAATCCCTGCTTGCATGTACATACTGTGCCTAGCCCAGTGACATCCCAGCCTTGAGTGGGACCTTTGGCTCTTGCTAGTCTTTTGTTATGTTGTAAGAGATCCTTGGATGGAAAGCTGTGTGGACTTAACCTGTCACTATTAATGTCTTTGTCTGCACCTCTTCCAGAGCTTGAATCAGCTAGGATAAATTGCCTGTGGCTTTTCTGCTGCTTAATGCTAACCTAAGAAGAGAAGTAGCACAGATGCATTGAAAATTCGCATCTGTTTGTACGCTCGGGTGTTTCCAGTGGGCAAAAAAACAATGTAGGCAGTTTCTTCTGTCCTTTTTAAATAGGTATGTTTCCCAGGGTGGAAGGCATGAAGACTTTCTGCTGACACTAGCTCCAGACTGTTGCAAGGATTTAATAACAACACTGAATGCTTGCCTAGCAATCTGTTTATTAGATAGCAGATGTAAAAGAGCTTTTGGATTTTTCCACCAATGTTGTAGCAGAACAAATGACAGAGAAGGTGATAATTTGAGCCTTTTTTGCAATATATTTCCGATATTGGCCCTTTCTTCAGAAAGGTGTTAAAGTCTTGGACTTTATTTCACATGAAGAATAATTTTATCTAAGCCATCTACATGCTCTTTCTTACTTAGAAGTCAAGCTACCTGACAGCATTTTGTGCTCTTAATTTGCATGCACAATTTTTACATGTTAGTTTGGGATAATCATTATTTTCAATCTCCAGCTTTCAAAAATCATCAGTCAGGCTGCTTAAAACCATGACTTCTGAAAATGTGCCTCTATTTGCCATCTAGTTTAGTTGTATGCACAGCGATTTTTAAAGTCAGTTAGACTTGCAGCTAACCATATAGTGCTGCCCACAAACCAGTATATGTTCATGCAGAAAAAGTTGCTTACCTAAAGGTTTAGCAAATTGGACTTTAATTTATAATCTTCCTTTAGAAGCAAAATTGGAAGGTGACTCCTTCTGCCTACAGCTGATGGTAGGTTAGGAAGCGAAGCCTCTGCTTCCCTAGAGGTGCCCACAGTGGGGGAGCCTGGCTCAGGGAAAGCCTCCAGCCTTGGAGGCTCATCTTGTCTGGTATATGCTGCCACAGTCGAGAAGTTGAATGTTTCATGGGAGAGTGCATGACCACATTTCCCCTTCTCCATTAATGGACCATATTTACATGACTGGTGACAAACAGCACAAGGTGCTGAGATAGCAACCATGGGCTCTGTAGGATCAGTGGCAACACCTAGAATAGTCCCTTTGGGCACCGTGGAATATGTCTGTCATTTATGCCACTGGGAATTGTATGTTTGTGCTGCTTTATGTCTCAGCTTTGGGTGTGAAAGGGACTAACTGTATCAACTCTGTGTCCTGGC